TACACCAGTCGAACTTCATTCGGGTACACAACAAACGCACTCTCTGAGAGAAAAACCTTGTAAGGAGAAAAATGAGACCGATCAAAAACCGAGAGCGTTTTGTTTTTCTCTTCACGTAGAGAAATCCAAAAACTGAACCAACTGAAACCGCACCCATAACCACATCTTATGGAAACGTGCGGCAGTTTCTCCAACCACCCATGTTTCAAATTCAAATGTTGAAAAATATTACATTTTAAGGCCCTAAATAAATCACATTTTGAATCCAAACGTTTTTCATAATTCTCATAAGAGCCCCATTCCTCAATTTGAGCTTTTATATGGGCCTAATCCACCAAGGGTGGATAACCCAACAACTTTGATAAAATGAGTGTAAAATTGTCCAAACTATTAAATTTGATTAACGTCTATTAATATTGATCATTAAAAAAAGAAGCAAGTAAAAGGTACAAAAATACTGATAAATTTTTTATCTAGAAGCTTCTAGTATCATTAAGTCAATAATAGTACTTGGATACCCATTACCTATATAAAAGAGGCCAACTCTGACTTTCGGACTTATTTGAGCTGGTTTAAATACTCGAATTTTAAAATATTATTGTATTTTTTTTTCATAAATTTTATTTTTTATCTAAAAGATGAAGATCGTTCAGTTTTTATCTATTTTTAATTTTATTTTATTAGTATTAAAAAGTATTTAGGTATTTTGGCTCATCCTATTCAAGTTTGGATTTGACTTGGGTTTTTTTGGACTTATTTAGCCGGTTTGAATAAGTTTAAAATAAAAAAAATAAATTATCAAGTCTAGTACTAAATTTTTTTAAATTTATTCAAATTAGCATGTTAAATTTATTCTAAATTACTAGATCTAACCTTTTTAAATATGTTAAAATAACTTAATGTTGTGGTGAAGTTATAAAAAATATAACTTAATATTAAAAAATGTTGGCCTACTTAATAAATTTAATGAATACTAGAGTATTGTTATTAGCTTTGTGATATCAAAAGTTTATAAAGGAAAATGTTATAGATGTTTTTATAATTTATATTTTTTTTTATTTTTTAATAGTCAACTTTAATTAATATTAATCAAATTTAATAATTTAGACACTCTCCAACCCTCTTTATTAACATTAGAATATGCTTACCCCATCCATCACCTAAAAATGTTAGGTGTCCTTTAAAAAAAGGTTCGTCTGTATTTTTTCGCTTTTAACTCATAAATGTTTTAGAAAATAGAAAGCTGAGTGTACTGGGCCCATATGATATGGAGAAGATATGGATCGACCAACAACCCCCCCCCCAAAAAAAAAGCTTTTTAATTTCAATTACTGGAACCACCCTAGTAGGTTCTCTCACATCACTTTATTCCTGATTAAATCTGCCAAGGATCCTTCTCTACCCCTCATCAGCATCCTCAGGCTTCTGTTGCAGAAGCAATCTTTCAGTAATTTTATCACACCCTGAAAGGATCAAGTAATCTCATCACTCTGCCAGCAAAGAACAAGTAGAGCGATTCCATAAGGTAACTGTCTTCTTTCTCTATCCTTCATTCACAGATGCTTCTTTCATCTCCCCCTACTGTAAGTGGTGTTTGTATTGTTCAAGTATTTGCTCGCGTATTTCTCTCAGTAAATCTCAGTAATATGTTGTCATTTCATTCTACTATTTCTTCTTCGTACATTACCTTTATAATTTCATCAAAAATGGCTCCATGTTCTCTTCAAATATATACAAGTCAAATTAATTAAATTTTCTATGCATAAAATTCCATAGGTTGGAGTTTTACCCAAATCACAAACTATAGCGTATCATTAATGCTTAAATAGCTTAAATTATTTTGAAAGAGCTAACCACACACTTACATAGTTATGGTTAATTCTCTAATCCTTCCATCTTGACGTAAGACTATCATATATCTTTTTAGTGAAAACAATAGAAAATTTTTTCTAAAACATGTAAATAATAATAAGATCTCACAGAATATGTTAATTCTTCTCGAGTTTTTGAGACCCTTTTTATATTGATGCCTTTTGTAAAATGACATAATAACTCTAATTCTATATATATATATATATATAAGCGATTATTTTTATTTAAGTAATGATTTTTTTTTCTTTTAGTATGACTAAAATGGGATATGAAATGATAATTTTTGCTTTACAAATTTTGTAATTATTGAAATCTAAGTATTATAAATATTATTGAATATTTTTATTTAAATAATTACTTTTTTTTATGATAATGATTAAAACAGGATAATTAATTATAATTTTTTCTTGTAAATTTTTTAATAATTAAAACTCAAGTATTGCAAATATTGTTGGCTAGTTTATTTTAAATAAAGACTAATTTTTATGGCAATGACTAAACAATTTCTATTGCAAATTTATCATGGTTTTATTTAAATAGAAGCATTATACTCATTTTACAAAACATATTAATATAAAAAAATTCCTAAAAACTTAAAAAAATTATCAGATATTATATTTTTAAGAACTTTTCCTGTCATTTTGTTATTATAATATTTGTAGTATCACTAGTATCATTACCAGGAAAACTAGGCATTCGATTCCAGAAGTCGGTTCAAAGGCATAAGTGCTGCAAGCGGAAATCAAATTCCCTGTTTCAATCGAATTCCAGGTATGAGGATAATTACAGATTATTTACATATTTTTTTATCTAGAGAAATACATATTTTATTATATATATATATATATATATATCAAACAACTATAAACCTGAAGTCCCGAACGTTAAAAACCAATGATTTCAGAACTGAATTAAATATTAAATTAAAAAAGTCAGCGGTTCATAGCTTTGAATTGATAACATAATAATTAAATTAAAAAATTATATATATATATAATAATTTAAATATAAAAAATAAATATAAAATTATTACTTCACTTAAAAATAAAACTAAATATTTTAAGTTTATCATGACTTAACAAATTACATGATACAATATAACATTAAATGATTAAAAAAAATTAATAATTTTTTAAAAAAATAAAAAAGGATACGTTTTTGAACAGTTTAATTTTTAAAAACTGAATCCAATTTTTAACTTAATCCTGATTGCGGGTCCAATTTCCTGTCCAAAGCAGTCAAATCAGCTCAACTTTTTAAATAATTTTTTTGATTTGATTGAGTTATTAGTCTGATTGATCGACAGTTCTATCATCCGATTTGGTCTAATGTTTTAACTATTGTTAAAAACTTTGGAGGAAGGGTTACTTTCCTCCATGAAGATAGAATAATGCTCCACCACAAAACTGTTTGTTCCGCAAAGTCGTTGTTATGGTGGGGCCATATGGAGCTGCTTCCGAGAATATGCTTAATTTCAACATGTAACGAACACTTTCGAAAAAGAAAAAGGAACAAAAAAAAAAAAAAAGGAAAAATGCAGTAAGCGCAAATTTAAAGAATGAACAGCAGCACATCCAATAACATGTTAGCGTCATATTTTTTTTTCTCTGGTTTAAAAAAGGGAGAACATGCAAATATGTACTTCTCTTGTCATATTTATAAAATAAAGGGAGAATATTTTTTTCAATCCTATTTATAAAATATTTCAATAATTATATTTATTTTTACTATTTTGCCCCTCTTAAATGTAAGGAATTTTATTAAATGTTAAAATATTTTATTTTAAAATTGGTATATTTAATATGGGTAAGGAAATTTAAAATTTTTCTTAATTTTGGTAAAAATGTTAGAAAGATTTATAAATAAAAGTAGAAGGAGTAGTTTATTAGAAGAAAGAGTCCTTTGTTTGTGAATCAAGGTCTCCAATGGCTTTGAGGGTTACCCTCAGCGCCGATGTTCCTCATTAGAATCAAAACAATTGAAAGTACATCACAAAAAATTATAGCTTGTTAGATGAGAATATCCGATTAATTTATAAATACTATTTAACTTGTGAAGCATCCAGTACACTCTAATTCAAAACCCTCAATATGAGTAGTTTTTTTTTTTTATGACATTGACTTCTCATTGAAATTAAACACCAATGCTTCGGGCACAAATATAAAAAAAAAAATTCATCCCAAAAGATTAGTATATTGGATAAAAAAATTTTTAAACTTATAAACCTCACTTTTTTGTGTGAAGTTTGTACGTATTATTGTGCGCGCGAGCACGATATTGCTTGTTTTTGACAGTACGTAGTGTGAAGTTCTTTGTTTCTTTACCTTTTCTAATTTAATTATATATTGTACAGCTTATTTTGGGTTTTGCATATATAAATACTGTCATCATTGTATTATCAAATGTAATGAGTCCGATGTTAGGAAATCTTACAAATTGAATGAGATTTTATAAGTGTAAAAAGCTTTTCCACCATACATGTTAGTTTTTTGGGATAGGTTCCTCCTTTGAGCTTTTGTTCATAACATTGGTATTTTCATTGAAAGTCTGGTGTCTTAAAAAGGACTACCCATGGAAGGTCATGATTGGCAGGAGGCTGAATGAAGTGACTAGAGCCACCAAGGATGTTGACTTTTGATGAGGTAACATTGTAATAAATCTTACATCAGGGAGCTTCATAAGTTGAGTGAAACTTATAAGTGTGAGGAGTTCTCCCACTCAACATAATAGTCTTTTAAGATGGACCATCTTTTTGAGCTTGCACTCTTAACATGAGTTACAAGTGATCATAAGTCATAAATAGTATACTTTATCTTGTACTTTATGCAAATGTACTAGACCCATGTCCCACCATAGTTAATAAAAAAAATCATAATTTTGAATTCCTGCATTTTGCTTGAATTTTGTTGTAGGTCATTGCATTTTTTTTTTATATTCTAAGTCCTTATACTTTTATTTTTTGATGTTCTATAAGTCCTTATGACATTGTTCATGGAGGAATCTAGAATACCAAAATAAAAGTGTAGAGATCTAGAATAATAAAAAAAAAAATTGCAGTGATTTATAGCAAAATTCAAGCAAAGTGTAGGAACTTAAAGTTATATTTTTTTAAAAAAAAGTAATTTGCTTATGTAAATGAAATTATATATATATATTTTGATAAAATGAAATTATATATATTTTAACTATGGAACTGTTGATATGTATGATTTTTGCAGATAATGGAGGAGTACTCAAATGGAGATCTAATTAATCCTCCTCAGGGACCTTATCACCACACCCAATTACTGAGGTTCGATTCCACTGTGTTTAGGAGATCTTCACCTCATCTGTTGGAGGATACAAGTAATTAACCACTCTATCCATTCTCTTTAAAATGTGAAATAAAAAACTAATAAGTTCAATTATTTTGTGGATCCTTATAATTTCACTTAAATTTTGATTCAACACTGCTAGTTATTATTCTATAATTTTAGCAAAAATTTAATTAAAATCGTAGGCCATTTTGATATTAGATGAAATTATACGGCGATTATGATCAAGAAGATGATGTAATCCATTAACCAGATAAAGTATATATAAATAAATGGATATGTTACCCCACACAATTATGTGACTTAAGTGAATTAATTTGGAAAGTCCAATAAATGAGTTGTTAAAGTTGGCTAAGCGTTAAAAGACAATTTGTAATCGTTTGCCCATATCACATAAGATCATAGGCTTAATTAAGTCTTGTACTGTCAATACTAGAGCCTTATTATTAAGTCATCTGTGATCTAACTGGGGTTTTCTTTATAACTAAACAACTTTATCAAGTAAAAATCACTCTTCTAACAATTTCAGAGATGCCATGAGGGTTAGATAGGAATGACCTAAAGGAAATTGAAGGTCAAACCTGTTGGATCGGCTCAATCCTGCAAGTGGACATGTTTGATCATAGTAATAAAGGAAACCTAGAGTGTTCTCGTCGAACCCATAGGGAGAGAATATGTTTAGTCCAATTAAGTTCCCTGCCCTATATATATATATATATATAATAGTTAGCTGAAGATAAAAATTTATAACAAGTAAACAAAATAAAAGAAATATATAAAGATCAATCCAATCAATAGAGCATTATTAGGAGATTGATTTTCACCTTCTAGGATGACTAATTAAATTTCACTTTTTAAGTTAACTCTCTGTAATTATAATGAATATTGTTCATATAATATCCTAATTATAAGTCATTTTATTAGTCATTGTTTAATTAGGATTGAATTCATTCTCGCGCAATTCTAAGTCCCAACTAAACCATGAAGCTGCAACTGAAGTCAGCATGAATTTCTAAATCTATCTCTATTGGTCTAGTTATTTATATTTACCACTCTAGATCTCTGTTCATTCCTCTCCTTTCAATCCATTGTGTTTACTCATTGATTAGATATTATGATGGCCAATCACATGATCCGCATGAAGATAAATATCAATATAAATAAATAATCATGAAAAAGACCACTAAAAAAGACAAAGTCAATTCGAGTTAGGCTACATGCTACTCTTAACTGGGACTTTAGGAATACATAAGAATGTAAATAACCATCAAAACACAACTAAAATCCCAAATCATAGAAAAGAAAGATGAAGGTAGAGGTAGAGAGTTCTTGATGAAAAAGGATAAATTTTGCTCTACGTAACTCAAATCCTTGCTCATCCACTCCAAAGCCTCTTAATTAACACCGAGTCTTGGCCACCAAAGAACGAAGATTAAATGTCAGTTATTGCCACTCCTTGCCTCTATAGATTTATTTTCTCTATATATTTTTTCAAATGTATATCTTTCCTTTTATCTTTTTCTTGGTTATAATTTTTATTATTAAGCTATTTATCAAATATAAGTGGTAAAACTAAAGTAATACATAAATATTCTTTTTATCACTCAGCACTAGACTATATGTCTTAAGAAAATTTCATTTGTCAACATACTGTATTATTGTTGGGGATTTGATCAGCACCTTACCCGTGAATCTCGTCCAAAAAATATTGGATGAGAATTTCACAATCAAATGTCTTTTGTTTCAGAGGAGGCCAGAGCCAAATACCTGAACATATGTGTGCCTCTATACAAATATGCAATGGAGGGTAACTGGGAAAAAGCTAAACTAATGTTGATTCATGATAGAACGCTTCTGAATGCTGCTATAGCAATAGAATGTCCCACTGTACTTCATATAGCAGCAGGAGCAGGCCATCTTCGGTTTGTGAAGGAGCTTGTGAACTTGATGGATGAGAGTGACTTGGATTTACAAGACTCTATGGGAAACACTGCCTTCTGCTTTGCTGCTGCAGGAGGAAACATGGAGATGGTTCGGTTAATGTTGAAAATAAATCCATTCTTGGCAAAAATTAGAGGTGGGGACGGTTTCACTCCACTTCTTTTTGCTGCTTTACAAGGAAGAGATGATATGGTGCGGTTTCTACACCCTAGGACTACTGATATACTTGAAGAAGCTGATTGGAATAAGTTATTCCTAACTTGCATCGACTCTGATATTTATGGTAAGTACATGTTGCCTATGAAGCATAAATGCTCTTATACTATGAGTGAAGAAGTATAGCCTTATAGGTACAGCATGGATAAGCATTTAATACATATTAAATAAAAAATAATCATTTTTTCATCGTCCTTTTTTTGAATTTGCATTTATTGGCATTATTTGTGTTTTTGGAAATTTCATAGATTTAGCATTGAAGATGTTGAAGGATAGGCCACAGCCAGCATTAGCAAAAGATGTAGATGGTACGACAGGTTTGCATATCTTGGCTCAAAAAATGATAGCAAATTTGAGAAGTCACAGTTCTGAACGTCAAAATTATCGACTCATAAGTTCAGGTAATTCGTCCTGTACTACTTAGGAAGACCAGAAAAACTGGTCTTAAATTGGTATTTATCAAAGTTATTATTTCCTTTTTCAAAAAGTATTTAATCAATATTATGGCTAAAATCATAGATTCCCCCAAAACATTGACTAACTTCAGAGTTGGCTTATTCAATTCATCAAATTATATGACCTAGGTATGAAGCATGGCGTTGCTCTTCAACTTGTCCATTTCTTGTGCAGAGGAATTCTGGATCAAGTAGACTCAATATTAGATATGAGGAAAATCATAAATGAACCATCGCGATTATTATTTGATGCTACAAAAATTGGAAACTTTTGACTTTTTAGCTGAGCTTATGAAGTCTTACCCTGACATAATTTGGGAGTTGGACAACAAAAGAGAAGTACAATTCACATTGCAGTTTTATATCGTCATCATGCCATCTTCAATCTCATTCATGTTATAAGTGGAAATAAGGATATTATATTGTCATTTGCGGACACAGAGGATGGAAACAATATATTACATTTGGCTGCAAAGTTAGCACCAGCTGATCGACTTGAGTTGGTCTCTGGGGCAGCTTTTCAAATGAAGCTCGAACTATGGTTTGAGGTACTTCTTCCTTACCAACTATGAAATGGTTTAAATGACCCAACGGCTAGAGTATATACGTGAATTAATTTATAAACAACCCTTTAATTGATATGGCAGGAGGTGAGGAAGATTGTGTTGCCATCATATGCTAAGAGAAAAACCTAAAAGGTGAAAACTCCTCAAGAGTTATTCACTAATGAACACTTTACGAAAAGAAGCTGAGTCATGGATGAAGAGGACATCTGCTTCTGGTTGGTTGTTTCAACTCTTATTGCAACTGGAGTGTTTTCTGCTGCATTTAACTTACCGGGTGGTACCAATGATGATACAGGAGTTCCAAATTGTTTGGGGAAACGATCATTTACGATATTTGCTATATCAGATGCTATTGCATTGATCTCATCTTCATCCTCCATATTGGTCTTCTTGTCCATTCTTATCTCACGCTATGCAGAGTATGACTTTTACAAGTCTCTACCCTTGAAGATGATTTTGGATTGGTTACTCTCTTCATCTCCATAGCAAGCATGATGATAGCATTTAGCTGTGCATTCTTCGTAATATATGACCATGGCTTAAAGTGGGTTCCTTGCTTCATTTCTCTGCTGTCATTCCTACCAATAGTCATATTTTTATTTCTGCAGTTTGAACTTTTTTATGATATTATTTACTCAACATATTATTTAAGGTTTTTATTCAGGCCAAGCAAACGTTTGCTTTACTAGAAAATAGAGGCCAATTAGGTGGTGTTGTATCTTTTGCTTATTGTAATATAGTTTGGTTTTTCATTTGAAAAAAGTATATCAGTGCATGTTTCATACAAATAACACAGTAAGGTTAAGGATAGTAAAATACTTGGCCATAAGTAACTCAATTCCAATTTGCACATGCAGCTAATGGCAATCAACTTGAAGAAGCTTATATAAACTTTAAAGTCGCATTATAAAGAAAATATAAGGTGAAGTACTAAAAAAGAATTTGCTCAACGACGGGGTAAAAAGTAATAAACAATGAGCTCCGCTAAATAATTTGGAGACAAAAGACCATTAGCTAATTAGATAGAAGCATAGCAACTAATTTACGAAAGGGTATGGGGCAAAATTTATTCATAAAATATTCTGCATGTGAGGAGCTGCATGCATCTTAAATTACACTTTGGTGCAACTGTGCCTGTATCAAACACTTTTTGCCCTCTCATACCTCTATCTGGTTCTAGTTAATTTTTATCCAGAGCTTCTCTCAATTCTATCCATTTGGATATTATTCTTGACCCAATTCACCCCTACTTGTACGAAGTCCTCAAAATTTAGATTTCGTTGATCGTGAAATTCAGAAAGATCAATACTTTATTCGACGTGAACTGTAGCTGTGGAAATAAATATGTTGAAATTTGTCTTAATTGGCAAAAACCCTAGGTACAATATTTTATTATTGTCACATTTTACTGTCACACAAATACACTTTGATTCAAACCAATCTAAAAGTTGCGTGGAATCTCAACGTTATCACAAAGAAAGACCAGAGTTTTGTAAAAAAGAGGTAGAAAAAATACCCTTGTTTAGTTGAAACCTAGCTTTTAGTTTCAAATGGTCAGAAATAAGTTTTAAATAACATAACCTCAAATGCGAATCTAGCAAAGCAAGATTAGTCATAAATGAGTTATAAATTATAGAAATTTTGTGAATCATGAAAAATTCAAATGCAAATTGTAATAACCCAAGAATTTTAAGTAAAGATTTAAAATATGTAATATTGTGTTTTAAGTGTTTTTATGTTAGTTTTGAAATAAATTAATAGGAAGAAAAATTGGTTTAGTGGAGTTTATGGGCCTGTTTGAAAAGAATAGTTTTCTATTCTTCAGAACAAAAGAACGAAAAAATCTGTTTAGTAATGTGTTTTTAAAAAGTGTTTTGGAAAACAAAAAAATGAAATATTATTTTAAAGAATAAAAAAATAAAAATAACTTTTAAGTGTTATGTGATTATTGTTCTGGAGAATAAAAAGAATGAAAAAAAACACCTATTTTTATTTTTTTATTTTTAAAATATGTTTTACAAACATTAATTCTCAAAACAATAAAATAAAAATAATTCTTATGTTGCCATTTGGCTAACTGATCACAAGTTCGAACCTCTTGAGTCCACGAGTGAAAAATTTTCTTATTTTTTTCGTCAACCTATTTGACAAAATTATCAAAAATGCCCTTCTGTAGTGAAAAAAAAGGACAGAGGTCAAAGACGCATGGCTTCTTCTTCCTTCTCTACATTTCTTTCCCAGTCGAAAACTCCAGAAACCACAGAGAGAGAGAGAGAGAGAGAGAGAGCTTTGATCTCCCTCCAGCCCACCGTCATTCCCTCCCTCCCTCCATTCACTTCTCCCGTCGTCCTCCGCTGCCCAGTTCATCACTGATGTGCGAGGGGCCGAGACTTGTTGATGCTCTGTCGATCTCTTGGCTCTTTGTCCTCGCTTTACTGTTGTTGAGCCCTTTGTTCATCCTCGGTCCTTGTTGCTGTGCATGCGTCGGACCTTCTTCTTCTTCCTTTGCCGTTGAAGTTGTTGTCTATATCCTCCCCTATTCAGCGCCGCATAGTTCTTCCTCTTCTTCTCTGTTTTGCCGTAGCTGATCTGAGGTAAGGTTCTTCACATTCTTTAGCTCTCTGCTAATGCCATGTGTATATGTTTGTTTTGGGGCTGAAGTTATGATTTTCCCTCCTTAATTTCCCTCCTTTCTACCTTAGTGAAAAAAAAAAATCTGTGCGTGTGTGCTGATTTGGGTTGGAGCAACTGTGATTCCTCCTCTTTGTTCCAGCTGGTGCGAAAATGGGAGTGTAGAAGAGCATTTTTTTTATATTTATGTAATTTCAGTATAATTGATGAGTGGGTTATTGTTGATGAAGATGAATGTGGATTGATTTTTCTTGAGTTTAAAATTGATCTTTGTTGAAAGAACTAAATTAGGAACGCTTGAAAGGAATTGAAGAAGAAGAAGAAGAAGATTGCTATTGTAGTTTGAACTTTAAAGCACCTGTTCAATTAGATGTGTTGAAAAATTGGAGTGGAGTGATTTAGTATTTTCAATGCATTAGGCCTAATATTGTGTGTACAGATTTTGTTTTTTGATGAATTTAAATTTAGGTTCTGTTTTAATGGGAAGCATAAAAAAAAATTATATAGATGTTTGAAAAATTTTTGAAAAGGAAGAATAAATTTGGTATTAGTTTAAACTTTGAAGCATACAAGATGTATGATCAAATGACTGATTGATAGGAAGAATTTAGTATATGGTGGGATAAATAAACATGTTAATTGTATTAGTGACAATTAAGTTGATGTGGGAGATAACTATTCTCTTTTAAGGGAAGTGGAATTGAAGATAGGATTTTTGAAGAAAGTATTTTCATCAGTAATTCAGATACCAAATTTCTATTTTTGTATTGGTTTCTAGTATATCTATGGAAAATCTATTGCAATGTTTGAATTAAAATTTGTCCATTCCACTCCTCTAAATTAAATTGGAGTAAGTAAATGTGATATGTGTATATACACATCCTTAATTAGAATTTAGCTACATGTGCTTGAAAAGAGTTGGGAAGACAAATTGTCATAAATAAAGTTCTATGTAGAAAGTGTGTGTGTTTATAGTGTGGTAGAGATTGAAGGATCAAATGTATAAATTGGATTGGGTCAAGAACTTAATTGATTGTGGTGTTGTTAACATGGGGAAAGAGGCTATTAAATTTGAATATATGCCACTAAGTTGTCTTTTTATTGGTTAAGGTGTTTGGAGGAAGGAAAATTTGATTAAAGCTCTAGACGGTGAATTCTAGTGCTGGGTAACAGTGCAGATAAGTGAATAGCACCCCTATTATTTTATTGATAAAAGTAGTCTGTTTTTGAAAATATTGCAATTGTATATAAATCATTTTTTTAATGACTATGATGATTATTAAGTACTTTGTAATTAAATTATTTTAGTTTTGAAAATTATTGAATGATGATGAAGGATAATTAAATTATGATATGTGCATGTATTTTCCTTAAGAAATATACTTTCAAGATTGATAAAGGCATCTTTGTTTATTTTACTCTGAAAATTCTTGGTTACTCAACTAATACAAGTTTGTACATTAATTATGAAGTAATCTTCTAGCAAACTTGAGATTTGAAGCAATTCATGCGAGTTTGGCATTGAGAATGCAAATCTTATTTTAGAAATGATTATTTTTCTCGCATGTTTGAAATTGATTTCTAAGAGGACTTTATACAGAACACTGGTTGTTAATGATAGTTTCGTAAGCCCTTAGCATGCCATGGTCAATGACTAGCTAGTTTGATTTTCATGAGCTATGTTCTCACGTCTATTATTCGTAGGCCTTATACCCATGTTTGTTTTGTGGCTTCGACCATGTCTGGTTATTTATCTTTGTGAACTGTGTATCCACGTCTATTTCGTGGTTTCAACCACATTTGGTTACTCAGCCTCGTGGACTGTGTCTATGTCTGTTTCGTGGCTTCGACCATGTTTGGTTATTTTACCCTCGTGGATTATGTATCTACGTCTGTTACCTGTTCTTTTAAGTTCTCAAAATTTTAAATTTTTAATTAACTTGTATATTTGAAATTTCAACGGTTTTAGTCAGTAAGTATATTCTTTTTATTCACATGTGAATTATTTAGTTTCTTCAAATATGATAGAATAAAGCAATTTCAACTCACTCTCATTTATGGTTATGATTAAGATTTATAAATTTAGTATTGAATTATCATATTTACAACTATTTTATATAATTGTTTGCATTTATTATTTTAATCTTTTAAAACTCCATTTTTTTGGGATGCTGTTCACTGAAAAATATTTTGGTCTCAAATTATTAGCTAATGTTGAATCTCATGTGGATCATTGAAAGGTCTATCACTGGTTGGGAAATGGAGAATGTGGTAGGTTTTGATGTAAAATTTGAATTATAAAATTGTATCTTGTAAATTAAATTTTAGGTGCTCTACATATATTATAACTAGGATTCTTATTTTGATATATATATATATATATATATTTTGTTTGCTGGTGGAAGGAGCTAAGCTTCTTGTTATTGATATTTGATTGAAAATTTGTATTATAAGATTTTAGGAAATCTTATGTACATGAGAGATTTTGTCAAAACGTTCACAAAAAA